CCCCAAAACCCCAAAACCCCAAAACCCCAAAACCCCACCAAAGTCTTTATGTTAGAATAAAAATATTTTAAGAAATGGAACAAAAGCAATCATTTAAAGTTCCCGAAGAGAATACCCTCCAGAAAGCTATCATTGAGAATAAGAATCCCAGGAAGCCAAGCAAGGATCTAGGTAAGTTTGTGGGCCAGGAATTAAGGCCCTAGACATCTGGAATGCGACCTGATTAGCCCCTAATCTTGCTCATTGTTGTATAGAAGTTGAAAGAGCCATTTCGGCAACCTATCAATGTGATAATAAGACCTTTGATTTCAAATAAGGAGTAAGTCTTTGGATTAGACAATCGGAATGCTGTTGGCGGAATATCTTGCGGCCTCCAGGGATTAATCTTATAAAAGATTACCTGATAATTTAGAGCAATACCCATCGATCAGCTTTGAAAAGTGTATAATCAAACCTCGTTCCACCAACGAATTCAAGAAGAGCATTTGGCCAAGGTGAATGTGCTGCTTCGTGACCAGAAGCTCATCTCTGGAGTAATTCCTGAAAAATATGATAAATAACGACTATATTCTTAATCTTGACATTAATCTTGAAGAAAAACTTCATGAACAGGAAATTTATAAGAATATTCTTGAAAGAACGACAATTGATTACTTATGAATGAGAGAAAAGATTGCATGTAAGTGACTGCCCTAGTGACTCTTGCTGACTGAACTTCCAAGAAATTAGACAATTACCCATGCCTTTACATAGATATCCACACTTTGGTTAAGCAGTATGATGCCAAGAACAATACTCTTCTGTCACATTTTACAAAGTACAAGAACCAGAAGGATGAAGCTATTTATCAGAAAGCCGAGCTTGAGAAGGAAGTTGAGTAAGTTAGCCAGTATAGTACAGCTTATCATTCGTATAGCTCCAAAGCTATCAAGCGCAAGGAACACATTAAATTCCTTGAGTCACAACTCAAGCTTATTGGTGAGAAGAAACAGCGGGAGAAAGAGGTCAAAAAGACAAAAGAGACTAGCCACAACAAGAAACAAAATGATTTGGTCACTGTCAACCAGAAAATAGACGACCTCACGGAGAAGTTCAACCTCCTTTGACGTATTTATTTTGTTCTGACTCTATAGAGATCCAAAAGAACGAGGAAGAAACCCAGAAGATCCTAGAGAAGCAGAAGAAAGAGATTGATGACGTACCACTCTTCTCTGATAACATTTTAGGTCTTTGGCACTAAGGAAGAGCGTGAAAAGAAAGAGATGACAAATGAAATAACTTCCCAAGATTACCAGCTACATAAGTTCTATAATCAAGATCTTGACAAGTAAGTCTGGCTCGTTACTTCTAGGAAGAGAAAGCTTAAGCAAAAGTATGAAGCTGATCTAGAAGCTGTCCGCAAGATCCACATCAAAGATGTCAAGGAAGCCAGAGCAGTTAACAAGAATAAATCCTTTGAGGTCCTCGACTTCATGAACTCAAACATCAGGAATACTCTCATTGCCACAAGGAACAGTGCCCAACGGTACAAGGAATTATTTATGAAGAAAGAGAATCTAATCAATGAGTCCGTAAATGGCTTCTCAAATATATATAACATTACTGAGAGTGTCAAGGAATTCCAGCGACAATCATTCAAGTTCCCGTATTACTCTGTTGAGGACTCAGGCTCTATCTGTAAGATGTTAATGGTCGTCTTCCATCGGATTGTACACTCTATTGAGATCACTGAAGCTCAGCTGATGTCATCCATTGGCAATTCCTTAGGAATTAGCAAAAATGAGAAAGGAAAAATCACTAAAAATTATAAATAAAGTTGGCGTATGTGTTGGAGAAAGAAAAATTAATATCTCCTTCCTCAAGATATTGCTAGATTACCAGTTTGATAAAGACAGGAAGGGACAGGAGAAACTCAGGAAAGGCCCTCTGAACACTGCTAAGACATCCTTAGCCCTCGATCAAATTGGTATTAACAGCATTGAATCCAGCTCAAATATGGTTCGAAGAGCTTCAGCCCAAAAAGACTCTTTAAGAACGATCCAGACTCAGAACCAAGATACTCTTGGAGAAACCAATGATTCCAACACACCCGAGAATAAAAAGATCAAGCCAATACCTTTACCAGATAAGGACCCGTATCCTGTCTCTGTTGGACACAACTTCCTTATAGAGACTTCCTTTGAAGAGCCAGAGGCAAAATAAAGAAAAGGAGGAGCTAATAGGGTACAACCAAAATCTTCAAAATGGCATAATCTCTCAACTGAGATGAGCCACTCAGGAATACAATGAGAAGTACAAACCAACCTTCAGAGAGATCTTGCGAGAGCGAAGTGGAGCTATCTCTTCTTTCAAGTCTCCTGAAGGAACTAAATACCTTGAAGAAGTTCGGCTGCAAACCAAACGAGCCAAGTTCAAAAGGGTCAGGTCAACGAATTCAATGAAAACTCAGACGAGAGGGATGAAAAAGTCGACTAAATCCATCTCAAAAATGGACATCCTCAAACTTATGGGTTTAACTTCTAAAAAGAAATCTGAGAAACCTGGAGAGAAATTACAGCTAAGGAGTGTCAACATGGATTACATCGACTCAAATCTTTATGAAAATCATGACGTAAATCAGTTCCACAAGAATGGAATCAGAGATCAGAATTTCATTGATATGATCAATGACTGTAAAAAGGATATCCTTACATTCAAGCAGATAAGGTTTTTGCCAAGTACATTGATACATAAGAAGGACAAGACACCCAAACTTCTGCCTTTTGATGGTGGTAAGCACCTATCCTCACAGCTATAGCTCCTTCTTTCAAGACCTTCACCTCACGAAAGAGGAGTAACGGAAATATGGGATCTAATACATCCCAGACTGTAGACTCTCTGATTAAGAAGTATCGATCTGGCTCTAAGATTGAACGTAGGAGGTCTATCATGATTAGTAAGCCAGAGAAGAAGCCTACCGTCAAAAAAGGGACCAAAAAGAACCTCTTGTAGGCTGTAAACTAAATCTAGCTTCAATTTTTGATGAGATAATGGGGTTTTGGGGTTTTGGGGTTTTGGGGTTTTGGGG